GAGGTTAAATACTTAAAGTTTGGGCAACCAATTTTAGTATAATTTCATGTTATTACATACTCCCTCCCACCCTAGAAGTAATAAAATGACTCTATTTACTGCACAGCGAGTGAGTTTCTATATAAAGTTAAAGGCTTCTGCATCCATGGTCAGCTTTATTCCGCTGACGAAATTACAGGTACTACTGAATATTGACTGCCATGCCTAATGGAATTAATGTAATTGATTTATTAAATTTTAAAATAGTTTGATGAACTGTTCACTGTTGTATAACATTGCTATGAGCAAAAAATCAACTCGACATACAGAATTGCAATATAGATAACGAAGTCATATTTAATATTTGCAAAACAGTGAGTTATATTGCAATATTAGTGTTCAGGTTGTTTTTCTTTTTTGCTTAGTGTAATGAAATTCTTATTCGAATTTATCAAGAAGGTGGTGGTGACGATGGCAACACTGTCAGACACGGATACCAAATGTTTACATACAGGCTTCTGTATAATGTACTGTGACTGTAAATTTATATTTAGGTAGATAAAAAGAGAGAAATATTGGATGTATAATTACAGTGTTATCAGTGCTATGGTACGCGATACCTACTGTGTTGCAATATCCCATTTAGGTGACAAGGCTTTGTAATTCCACGCGCGCAATAGGAATTATATTCACAAAAAAGAGGGCCGTCGAAAATGACAGTATTACATGAATTCCCTGAAAAACAATCCAAACAGGTTTGTCATGTTCATGAACAGTAAAAACAGATGTCACCATGTCGTAACATCGCTACCTAGATAGGCTAAAATTCACTTTGTTCATGCACAGACCTCGTACTCCAGTGTTTGAATTATTACCAAACGAGAACATCCCAGACAGACTCTTGGTCGATAGTATCTGGTGGCAATTGCTCAACAGTGAGTATATAGTGTACATTATTTAGACAACACGTTAAGACCGATTGTTTTATCACAGATCACTTACATTCGTAACACTAATGGCATACTTGGGGAACTGGATCTATTTCGTTTTGCGCCGGATACGCTGAGGTATTTGTTTTCTACCAAATGTGAAATGTGTGTATACACGTCCACCCTACACAGAGACGGTTTAATGGCATTAACACATTTTCTTAACAGAATAGTAGAACTGAAATCATTAACGCATGTCGCGGTTTGTATTGCAGGCATGTGACTAGTAACAGTTTACAGTTTTACATAGCTGTTTCGGTCTAAAATATGACTATTTATTCATATCTTGACAGGAGTGGAAATATGGTTTCGACCGCCGCACTATCGATCATGTGTTTATTATGAATATACTTTTCACGGATGGAAGGCTGTAGTGTTTATGAATTAATTCTCAGGAAAAAACATTTGCTTCTGTGGACGGAAATTGCCTAATGTATTTATTGGACATTGGATGTATTGTAATAAATATCAAATTTATAGCAAAAGACATGTTTGAATTATACGGTGACGATATTGTATTTATGGTAAATGACATTATTAGTTTGCAATATAGTGTATGGAGTCACTTAAAAAAAGCATACATTGATCCCAAACTAAAATAATGTCGGTAATCTGAGAAGAATTTCGGGACTGTATTAATATGCGATGCTTCGAATATCCGGCTACGCCTAGAAATCAATGATATGTCTGTTAAAACGTTTTAAACATCGATTCGCTGTCATAGTATGGTTGTTTCTTTCATGTCATATCCTCACTACGTCTTATACATTCGGAGTATTGTCACAGATTCATTGTTTTCGAAAACAGCACTACATCTTGCATGGTTTTAATACACTGTAGAATGTTTCACTTGTACAATGTATTACTATTGTTTTAAACGCTGTGTTAAATATTAGTTGAGAATAGCAAAACAAAAAGCACGTTTACTGAATAAAGCTCATAAAAGAATCTGAAAATCAAAGAAAATGAGATGTATCATATTTTTGCTAAATATGAGCTTTGATTTGGTGTGGGACAACCAGGGCGTGGGGAGCATAGACCATTTTCCCAGAAATGTTCAAATCGATATAATAAAATTGATTCTGTTGTTAATATCTAAGATACATCATGCAGTTTGTTGCCTTCCAGTCTCACTGTTTGTTAGAAACCACAAAACACACCTAAGACGTGTCTAGTTGTAGTCATGGTGTAATATGTAGTTTTATTTTAAATGAAGCCAATAATTGTCCCAATTGCTGAGGAATTTTGTTATTTATATGTACAACAAACCACACTGAACGAATTTCACATTATGTTAAAATGTGCAGCCTGCGTTTTCTTGACAACACTGGTATACTTCGCGCTTTAGTAGTAATAATAGTGCGCCTTAACTAAGAGTTAATTATCAGCTACGTACTCGATAATATATCAGTATTGTAATACAGTACGTCATATCTGGTGCACGCAATGATAACCTCACATTTTCTAGTCCATCTAATCTTTCCTCTGGGGAAGACCGAGTATTACAAAATACAAGGAGCGTTATCTCGCAAAGTAGCAGTGCGTACATTTGATCGTGTAGTCTCAGTGCGCCTTGTTGTATATGTGATGCACTTTTTCTCACTAAACTAATTGTATAATCTTTTTTGTTTAAATCAGACATCGGTATTATATTAACTAATGTCCCAGCATCATTTGCACACGATTCCTGTTTGGTCGAGTAAAAAACGTGCAATAAAATTGCCGTCACCTTCACTGTAACCCACAATCATGATAAAAATTATTATCCCCGTTTGATTGTCGCTCCGCGAGCAATGGTGAGGAGCTATGGTGGCCTCATTACGGTGATGATTTAGCATGTAGTGGCGATTTTAGTGCACGCTTTTGTGTTTGATCTAATCACATTAATGCAGAGTAATCAGTCTCACTGTCGAGATAAATGGCCTTAACGAACTAACTCGAAGTCGAGAATTCATGAATTTCGAATTACGATATCGATGATGTTGACATTCACAAAATGTGGTAAAAGTCATCGTCATACTTCTGACATCGTCCAAAACATGTGAGAGAAGACAAGTTGGAAAGTAACACTCAAAGAGTGTATAATAAGTGTGTACTACTTAACTCTGGGAGCTCTAATTTCAGACTTTCTAAAACTACATTATATATTTTCAAAGCACTTATTCCATCAAGGTGGGTATCTTGAAATGTCAACGTATAATGTTCCAGCTAAGTCATTTCCACATGTTTCGTGAAAAGATGGATTCCGGTCGGATACGAAACCATGCAAACGGACGATGCGACTACTTGGAAAATTCAAGTTGATGGCACGCCTGAGAAGCGCCCTCATAGTAAGTTTATTGTTTCGCTCCTGTTTGGTCAGCAGTGAATCTACTTTTATCAACATCGCCCTCATCGCTGGATGGCGAGGGGTGTAGGGAGTGTTTTCATGCGATAGACGCCAATTTTCGCAGACACTCTTCCATATATTTAAAGCGGGAGGGTCGTCATCTGCGCACGCGCGGGAATTGAGTCCCAAGCGACGATAACAACACACACTAAAAACGCAAAGGCTCATGGGTAGACACTTGTTTGTAAACAATGACACGCCAGGGCCATCTGACGCATGCGTAGGTGACGAATCCCCCGCTTTAAACCCGGATTATGAAGGTACTAACGGGTCAAGCACCTAGACATGAGGTAGCATTTCAAATATAAATTGCAGCTCGTCATTTGAAAGGCGATTTGTTTTCACTAAAATAATACTCTTTAGTAACCAATCAACGACAAGTCGAATGTAACATAATAGTTGCTTTCTATTTTGACAAAAAATTAGTTTTAAATATTTTTCCAATTTATTTTTTAAGTGTGTAAAACAAAACAATCGGTAAAATTGAGGCATATCTATAGCCGGGGTCGAGGCTATCATTCGACCTAGGCTTTACATATGCTATTAATGCGTGAAACATTTTCATTGTGGTGCTGTTCAGTTGATTCTATAAACTGAGTACATTTCTTACAGTTTTGTTTATAATCTTGTCCTAAAGCGGGGGAGTCGT